AAGTCTGGAATCGGTGGTGGGGAATGTTTTCAAGGAAATTATAGTAGTTATTAAAATGTAAGAGAAATTATATATTCATTTAATAATAACGAAAATAATTAATTTTTGTTGTTTTATTTTATTTTATCTCACATACAAATTTTTTGAAAATATATTTTAGGAAATATGTGTAATGATTTAACTTTTTGAACTCCTAATCTATATTATTCAACCTTCATTAAGCCATCCACGTATGCACCTGCTTGGAATTCACTTTTTTGTGTTTTTTTTTTGTTTGTTTGTTTTTTGGATTTATTTTTGGGTTGAGCTTATTATAATAGGATAGTTTTAAGGTTCTTTAAGCCATCCGCGTAGGCAACCACGTGAGACTTGTTTTTTTTGTTTTTTGTTTTATTATTCGTTTTGGATTCATTTTTAACTATTTTGGGTTTGAACTTATTAAGGTTTAGGGTTTATACAACTATTTTGATCTTTAAAACAATAAGCCCAAAAACAAACATAAGAACCTTATAAACAAACAACCCATATGATAATAACCTAAATAAAAAAATCAAAAATACATGATAGCTGCGTGGTTTGAACCCACAATCTTGCATACGTAATTAGACACCTTATACCACTTGGCTAAAGTGTATTTCATTGTTTGTGACCATCTTACCAAGACTATGTGTGTTTAAAAAACATTTTTATGATGATGACATTAATTGTTTATGCATGAGAGCAGTGGGAATTGAACCCATGTCCTTGGCGACCAAACATGGGGTCTTAGACCACTTGGCTAAACTGATATTCTTTGTTTGTAGCCATTTTAAAAAAAAATTTCTATTTTAATATAAAAATGTGGGACCCACAATTTGCCTATGTGGACACCTTAGGGAGCCTTTAAACTGAATCATTATAATATAGATTCTGGACATCGGTTCGGTTTTACATTGGTTTTTTTTTAGTTTTAGTCTCCTAAAATGTTATTGCCATTCTAAATTCATACTAAATTTTATTTTATGTAGTTAAAAACTTAAAATGAGTGAATTTTTCATTTTTTGGTGATAAACCCAAAAATATCATTACTTGTTTAATTTCATGTTATATGCATTTAAGGCTATTTTGATGTCGAACCAATGATTTCTTTTTACAATTTCTAAATGAATACAAAATCAAATCATATCAAATCTAAATAATAGTTGAAGACAAAAAGCATCTAATATTATTTGTGTCCTTTGTACAAACAATGTTGGTGACTTTGTTTGTGTTGTTTGAACTTTCATTATGTTAATCATAATATAAAAAGTTGTATTTATACTCATAAAATTTTGTTTTTATTGAGTTAATAATATAAATTTTATTGAGCTTATATAATTTATATCTAATAATTGTTTTTATTATATTTAATTTTTATTCCTTAAATCATATATAATTTATATAGTCTAACAATTTGATTTTTAATGGTTATTGAGATTTCTATCTTTTTCCTATGTTATTTTAAAAATGGATATTAAAAAATATACACAAACACACATTTAATACAAATGAGCTGTTTTATGTTTCAAACCTAGCATACAATAATAAGATATGGGTCGCGTATATTAGTGTTTTGTTTGGTATGTGACCCATAACAAAAAAAAAAATAGTTTACTCATACCAATTAAGAAAAAAAAATTTTACCTTCTTTTCTACTCTTACCATATTCATCTATAATTGAAGAAAGAAGAAAAAATGATGGCTTCTTGAGACATCCCGGCCTCCTCTCCCGATCCACCACATCAGCATCCTTCGGGCTCGTACCTGTACAACGGAGCTTCCTTCCATGTTCGATTCGAATTTCGTGGAATCTTGGAAGAAATTCGCGCCGAACTGTTGTAGACTCTGTCTTCCTTCATGAAACCTCATCCATCGACTGTGTCTTCGATTCTGACGCACCTAACCCTCAATTTTTTTTCCACCCTTAAACAGCTAAGATTTCTGAGATAGAGGTCAGTTTCCCATTTTATTTTCTAAGGTTTGATCCATTTTGATCTATTAGTAAGCATCCGGTTTTTTGACTTCATCTGTCTATATAGCCATCTAGATTAATGCTACTCTAAACTGCGAAACATAGATTTCAAAAAGGAAGGTCTTCGAAGACTTAACCATTCGAATAACATAAACTTTCAACTTAGTAGTCTAGAATCTATTAAATCACAAACGAAGTGCAGAGTGAAAACAACTACAATTTCTTCCTATTGCTTTTTGCTTACCATTCAGTCTATCCAAAATTATAGTTCTTCAGTAAGATCACATCAAAGTTGTGTAATTATTATATAGTAAATACAGGGACATTAGAGAAATCTATGTAAAGATAAGAAAACTCAATTTCCATTATAAAAACGATGCATATCTCATTTTTATAATACAAAGAATGGTATTGATAGAAATAGGGTATTATAAAAACCAACGTTAAACTAAAATAAGTTAGAAATAACTTTGAGACTTCAGAATTTGATGATTGGAATCCTGCGATAACAAAAGTTCAATATAATAGGCAAAAATGACTTTTTATATAGACTACTCATATCAAATTACAACAAAGATATTAATATTATTGAGATTTTAAGAACTGAATTTCTGGAATTTCAGTATCAAATAAAATTATAGAATCACCTTCTAAGTTTGTAACATAAAGCCACCTATAAAATAATATCAGTGATAAGAAGACAAACCAACAATTATGAATTTGAAAAAGTGTAAATAAATATAGATTACCTGCTCCTCCACTCAATTCACCATAAACTTAGCGCACATACAACAATATCTGCTAACGTCTCCACATTGACTTAATGGTTTCAAATCAAACACATACATTATCACAACCATTATAAGAGAAAATGATAAATTTCGAAGATGTTGGGTTTAGAGAATGACTAAAATGAATGGGAGAAGCAAGTCTTATATATGTTTACTATAGTGAGGATTCAATTCTCATTGTATCTCTGAAAAATCCCGAATTGAAAGGCATATATTTTTACCTTGGCAATTACTCTTTGATATATAAATTGCCGTAAACTAAAAATGTGAAATATATGCCATTTAGTATTATTAAACTAAATTTTCCAAATACTCAATACAATTAAATACTATCAAAAATTACACACATGAGGTTTAATTCGGTATGCGTACAATTGCTTGATATTGGTTTAATATTCTTATCCATAATATTATAATTTTCGTCTACGACAATTGCTTATTTTCGTTCTCTTCAAAGTAAATTTAAGTGCATGAATACACAATGTCATAAAGAACAGAAAGATGTATAACATCAACAAAATCTTGCTTTAACGATCATACGCTATGTCAGAACCATTGTCTTCTTCGTTGGCTGTATAGAAAGAAGTTATCAGTTCTTACATGCGTGTGAGACTGTCTTTAAAAGACTGTGTACGGTTTTCTCGATTCATATTATTATCAATGTCAAC